GATCCTACAAGGAGCACCGATTTGACTTTGGTTGTGGTACTTATCCCCTTTTGACATGTACTTTCCTCTAGGAATACCACCTTAAGATTCGAGATGAGGTGATTATATTTGAGGATTACGTTTCTCTTTTAGCCATACCACCCTGAGATATGAAGGGGTACGCGCCCACACGTTTGTGTATATGAGATGCATTATATTTGGTGGGCTTTAAGTTTACGTTTTCAAAATTTTTATAACCTTGAAGGTTAGTGTGCTAAATCTGTACTTTTGTGAGTTGTGCTGAGATATGAGAGGGGAATATGTACAACATTCTGACCCAAGGCCATTTTAAGCCTTTGAGAGAGTGAGGCAGTGTGGGCCTTGTCGTACCTTTTGGATATTTTGATATGTCTGAGATTACTTGGATTCGTTTGACTTGAGAAGTGTGATTACGCCCTGACTATCTTAATTTTAGCTCTGGTCAGGGAGACCAAGATTTTTGTGTGATACCGGTACCAGTTTGAGTAGAGATTGTTCAACTTTATGAGTATATATATAATTCAAGACCATATTTGGTTCCTTTTTGAGTTGGGATATTACACCCCTGAGTGTATATTGAACTGAAATTTTATCTAAGACTATTCCCCTCTATATGATTATCACAATTACTCTCACATGTGTGGTTTTATCCTGATGTATGATGACCTTGTATGAGAGATGTAAGAGAACATCTCATGTGCTATGTATTTTGTGAATGTGAATGAATGTGAACTGTCCACTCTTCATTATACTCGTGCGATTTGTTTATGAGCGGATGATAGGCCGGGTATAAGGAGAGGGAGTGCTGTCTTTTTTGTGAAGGTTGTGAGAATCATAAGGGATTTATGAGTCTTTGAGACTTGAGTGCTTACCATGCCGAATGTTCTATTGATTGAGTTGTGATGAGGACTCATAAGTTGGTCTCTAAGTTTGAGTTGTTTTATGGTTGAAACATCCTCACAATGAGAGGATAGTCCTGTGCTTATTTGAAAACTCATCTTCAGAGAGAGAAAATGTTTTAAGGCAAAGGTCGCATGAGAGTTTATCCTAAACAGAGAAGGGATGACTGAGAGACCTATTGAGAGAGACCTATTGAGAGAGACCTCCTTCGTATAAAAAAGGGGTAAGTAGATCTAATTGCATGGTAAGATGGTTGTGAATGATAAAGTTTGACGAGAAGGACAACGTTTTTGCTTGGTCATTGGTGAAGTTTTAAACAGGTCGCAAAATGGTTCATTTAAGAGATGTCTTCGGGATGTGTGGTCTTCTCGCCCTGATGAAGCGAGAGGGCCGCAACCTTGTGAATCTGGCAGTGATTATGTTTTGTGATAGTTGAGAGGCTGCCGTGTTCTCTCTGTGTTGTCCCACAGAGGGCTGGTAAATGCCTTTTATGTGTGACAGACCTTTGCGTAACCCCGCAATAGACCTGTATCGTTGCGACACACCATCCCGCCGCTTGTGCTAAATCCTGGGCATTGATGAAAATACCAAGCTAACGGTAAAGTTCAACATCACTATGGCGCAACCCCTAGTGTCGGTTGGTGACCGGCGCAACCTGGCAGTGGGCCTACGTCTTGCCAAGGGAGTAAAGACTTAAAGGGGTGTGGCCACCTAGGAGGGATTTACTCATGCGGAACGGCGTGGGATAGGAGTCGAGTCGAGTCTTTTTGAGTTCTGATTGAATGCTTATCAGGAGAAAGCCTATCGTAGCGCAATATGCGAGGGCACTACCGCTAAAATAACAATGCGGTGGGTCGTAGATCTGGCACGATCACCCAGACTATGGTGGGTCAGGATGGAGACCTTATCTTTCTGTACTAGACTGCAGGAAGAGTCTATGACAAGATTTGTGTATATATATATATATATATGTTTGATTGCGAGAATTGCTGGAGGGAGACAATAATGCCTTCAAAGGTCTCGGTTAGGGTCAGCGTCCCTGATTTTGGCCCTGCTTGCAGGGTATTAACTAGGGACATTTAATGAGAAGTCGGCGTTTGTCTAGGACAAAGGGGAGAGGACAGTTGAGAGGGCCACCGAGACTTATGATGTAGTACGTATGTCTAGTACACCGGCGTCCTAGTGTCAGGACAATGGGGATCCAGGTTAGAATCCTGGCAGCATATACTAGTTGTATGAGCTTGGATTGTTGGAGGCCTCGAACCTGAGTTTGTCGGCTGATCGGATTGGTTCCTTTCTTGTCAGCATTTGGAGTTTTGAATGGATTTATAGGCTATTCGATTTTGCGAAGTGACGGGGACGTCGCTTAATATGGTCCAGTAAGCTGTCGGTGCCAACACCCTTACAAGGGTATCCGCCCTGGTTTTTGCAAAACGCCAGAAAATAGGTTTGGTTTAGAGTTTAATTATTCCGCGTGAAGTGAGGCAGCGTCTGTGGTTTACGTTGGCTGGATGAATGTTTAGAGTAGACAGTGTGTGAGCGTGCAGATTTGAGGCGTGCATGATCATTATTCTTTTTTTTATTGATGATTGTGAAAGTCGGCATAGTCGCAAACCATATTTTTATTTTTAAATTAAGTCAGGATTAAACGGACTCTGTTTCGAGATTGGTATGCTTGCCGGTGACTTGTGTGTACGTGCGGAGGACGGCATCGACAACATGGTAGCTTTGAAGTGTTTTCGGTAGGTTGGCGCGTCACGCAGTATTGGTTTATTTAGATGACCGTCAAAGCTAGACCCAGCCTTGGGCCTAGCATTATTGGTTACAACATTGGACTGTCATCAGAGAGATTCAGGGATCGAGATCGAGCGGCGACAACGCGAAGAGTATATCAGAGTAGTGCGAAGGGACCAAGGGGTTGAGGGCCCGGCGGGGCTACCCCCGTTGGTGTTGTCGTCGGCGACGTCTGAGCGGTGCTAGCACTCCTTTTCCTCGTTCGTCGTATTCTGACGATTAAAAGTTTCTAAAATATTTTTTTAACGTTGCTCCAGTGTTTTTTTACTGAGACGCGGCGCTGGATTTCCAGGTCGTTATGGTGGTCGAGGACTTTGAGCGCGCACCTCCTTTGGTTGACCTGCCCCACGTTTTCAGGACGCTGGCAAAATTCCTCTGTCCCTCTTGTTCTAAAAAACAGACTGAGGAGATCAACGTGCGTGCGAACCCATGGGCGATCGACCCACGAGATGGAGGGAGTTTGAAGTAGCGGGAGCCTATCCGTGGGTACACCGTCCGCCAACTAGGATCTGCGGTGAGAGTTTTGAGTGTGAGCATGCCCGTTGAAACTCAGAAGATGATGGATCGTGGCCAGGCGTGGCGGGGTGAAGTTGTCTGGGGCGCTGTTGGGAGACCCCAGCGGAGCTGCGGTAAGCTGCGGGTCGTGGGAACCCTCTCCACTTCGGTCGTCTAAGTTTTTATTTGAATATTTGTTACTGCCACCAAGGTCCGCTGTCGTGGTTTCCCTCGTCGCCCACTTGGAGGGCGTTGATAGCCTAAGGTGGAAGGTAATTGAAGGCCATTCTGAGCAGGCCTGTGGAGCTGCAGCGGAGAGGACGGAGGTCGTCGCGGGTATACGGTCCGCCGCCTACTGCTTGCTGAAAGGGAGTTGAGTGTGTGTGCCCATTTGAGACCTGAAACGAGGTGAATAACGCCTGGGCAAGAACGACCAGGGCATTGTAGCATAGAGGGGCCCGCAATACTATGGGTTGGCTCTGCTTGAACAGTGCGACCAGAGGCAACGAGTAAGGCTTATGACGCCGCAACTGCGTGCAACCTTCGAAGGCCTCGGGTATAAGGGCGAAAGATCCATCGAGGCGCCTAGGTGATTCCAGTCGAAGCCTCGCAGGTTAGCTGCGATTATCGGGGACTGCTTTTTCACCCTGTCGGACTGCATGACAATAAGTTGGGCTAGGTGGAAACGCGGGTACGAAGGAGGAAAGGCAGCGGAGGTGAGGTGAGTGAGGCCGCAAACGCGTGCAAGGGCGAGCGTTGAAGCTGGGCAGCAAGGCAGAGCAGTGACAGGGCGTTGAAGCTGGGCAGCGAGGCGGCTAGCGATGGGCAGCAGGCAAAGGGAGTGAGCCTGAGGCCGAATCTAGACGTACAGGTGCGTGGGGTGCATGCAGCGGGTGAGTGGGTTACGGTGGAAGCAAGAGCGGAGGACTGCGGGCGGAGAGGTCCGAAGAGATAAGGAGGAGCGAGCAGAGAAAGGCAGGGTACGGACGCAGAAAAGGGGAGTGCACCCGGACGCGTTTTACGACCAAATCCATTCGTAAGCCTGAGTGGGGATCCGCGTAGCACGGCGAACGTGTTCGCAGTCCTCCCTGTCCGCGCGAACACGTTCGCACGTTCGCGTGAACGGGTCGGAAATACGTTCGCGAGAACGCATTTTGGAAGGTCGCGAACGTTGTTCGCGGGGGCCGGTACCGGTCGCCGGCGGTGGTTAGGGCGGGGTTTTTGGGGCTGGGGGAGGGCAGGGGTGACCCGCCAACTGAAGGCGGGGGGCAGGGCGGCTGGGGGGAGTCGATTTCGAATTCGAAATCGAACTCCAACGTGCGTTCCCCCCGGCTGGAGCAGCAGCGCACAGAGGAGGTGGTTGTGCAGGTGAGTGACCAGCCATAGCC